TATAGCCTACACATCCTGTTGTCACCATCTTAATTTGTATCTGTTTCGACCTTTCAAACTTTCACTGTGCTGTAAGCGTCTTTATCATGTAAAACATGTCGATGGTCTGTGGTTTTGAGGAGACCCACGCTGCACACAGATGCTGACAGTTTTTAAGCGTGTCACCTCGCAGCGCGGACTTTCCAAAGGAAGAAATAAAGTAAGAGAGAGGAATAAAATTAGTCTCCATGTACACTGGGACGGATGCTGATGCGCAAAGCTCGTTTTCATCCTTGAGGTGTCACTTGATATCATTTTATCAAAAACCACCGCCATGGCTCATTTTGGTGCTTGGTGACCTTTGCGGTTTCAGGCATTATGAAGCTGTCACACTAATATCATAACCCTGTGAGTCAGGGAACAGATGGCAATGTTTCCCTAAACCTAAACAAGAAATGTTTAGTCCCTAAACTTAACCGAGTGGTTTTTCCCAGCTAATAAACTGGCAAATCAAGCCTCCGCTACTCCTCCAGCCTCATAATGAGTACTTTGCATGTTTCCAGAGATGGACCGTTACCCTTCATTGGTCCATTGCTGTAGCCATCGCATCGACAGGGTGTCGTCAAGACAAAAGGGCTGCATATGAAAACGTGATATTCCTGGTTGTCTCTGCCACGTTAAAATACAGAAAATCCCTACCTGCTATATTTATTGTGGATAATGTCGCTGTTTCAGGTGCAGGTTCAGTCGTGTAGATGAACGCGTTACAGCGACAAATTTAACGGCAACGATGAATTCTGTGGTGCTGGGAACTCTGTATAACTGAGTGAATTACACAGACTTATAGGTGGGCATTAAGTTCAATCAAGAAAGAAAATACTGTTACTGTGTGTTTCACTTTTGTATGTCTGAGTTTTGCAGTGGGAGCTGTCAGCGGGAACGGAAAACTTTGAACGCCGCGGCGTCTGAGCCGTGATTTTTACCCTTCAGCGCGCTCCGCAGCAAAAACTCGTATTCGCTTTATTTCGTGTGAAGCTGCCTCGTGGTTTTGATTTGTCACATCATTTCAGCTTCGGTTTCTAATGAGTCATCGAGCCAGACAGTTCACGCTCAAATTCTTTTCTTCTTTTTTTTCCTGCTCTCTTTTTCTTGTCTCACAAATGGTTAATTTATTCAGTATTGGGGGCGTCAGTTATTTATTACCTTATTTTTTTATATGTGTATATATATGAATGCTTGCATGCATGCACAGACTTTCCAGTGAGTTCTCTGTTGGGGAATTTAAGCCCAGATTGGTGGGTGTTTTTGACTGTAATCTTCACATGAGCAATGTTTAGTCCCTCCAGCCTCCACACGGGGATGTCTGAGGTTACAAGTGGGGGCGAGACCTCGGCAGCCAGCGACGGGGAGACCCACAGGGAGCTAAAGCTCACAGTGATACCCTCTGAGACGAGGCATCTACGGCCAGCCATTAGTAAACCTTCCACAGACTCAACTTTTTTTAATGTAGCTCTTCAGACCGTGCAGACGAGCCATTCTCACTAACCCTGCGTCTGTAAGACTCATCTACTTGTTTACAATTTTAGTCTCTGCCCACTGGCGATATCACTGGCTGAATCCCACGGAGTCACTGGCAACACTTTCGGTGATTAATGTTTGTACTAATAACGAGCTTGACTCATTGCTGCTTCTCTTAGCGTTGATTACTCATCTGAGGCGCTAATGTGTTCAGCGAAAAATAGATTCATTAGAAACTAAATTAGAAACTCTACATTAAACAGGGATTTTCTATAAACACTCATAAAAGAAGCAAAAAACCAAACCAGCTCCTTCTCATTGTGAAATAAAATGACACAAAAATGTAATAAACAGATTAAAAACAACACAATATCAATTAACACTTAAGTTTGGACGTCTCGGCACAGCATCAACAAGAACATTACTCGTCACGACACTCGCACTCGTCCACTCGTGGAAGTTTGAGCAACAACCTGAGTTATTTTATGCAACCTGTTAAGTATCATCGAGGGGAACCTGCCACGTTGCACTCCAGTGCTAAATGATGTTTACTCTGAAAAGCAAAGAAAAACTAGATTAGGCTTTAAGTCATGAAGTGATTGGTTAAACTGCAGGTAATAAGAACAAGTAACCAAAACTCACCCAAAGGGCCTCTCTGTGATTCAGTGAAAAGGGTGGTGTCATTAAAGAAGAAACACAAGAGCCAATCAGTGATGAGGAAAAGAGGACAGGAAGTGATGTGTGGAAAAGTGAGGAAAGGGGTAAATAAAATAGACCAACTGGACCTTTTTTAACATTTTCTGCAGTTGTTAGAAAGAGCTCAGGCTTTCCGTACGAGTCTCGGCAGATTGAAATGCTTTACGGACGAATGACAAACAGCAGATTTTTCTCCTTTCTTTGTGTTGTGCTTCCTTGTCTCCTCCATCCTGTTGAAGGAAGCTGCATGAGGACCTGTAACGGAGTATGTTCATATCACGCACATCCCTTCTCCTTGAAAAACAAACTTGAATATTAAAAAGAATTGAGGGTGTACTCTGAAAGCAGTGAAAGCAGAAGGTTTGATGTGTTAGTCCTCCTCACCATGGTTCGTCTCTTCCAGCTGTGGCCACGTGTCTTTTATATACTGATGGTAAAAACGCTCCCTGTGCATTCTCACTGATATTTTCTCCTCTCTCCTCTCTCCTCTCCATTCCTGTTGCATTATGCAAGGTGTGCTGGGGTCACAGACAGATGGATGGCACACATTAGAGAAACGAGAAAAGCTTTCTTCCTCGCCTCCTCTGCTTGTAGGAGGCGATCGTGGCTCAAGAGTTGGGAGTTCGCCTTCTAATTGGAAGGTCGCCGGTTCGAGCCCCGGCTTGGACAGTCATTTCACCCATACTGGTGGTGGTCAGAGGGTCCGGTGGCGCCAGTGTCCGGCAGCCTCGCCTCTGTCAGTGCGCCCCAGGGTGGCTGTGGCTACAATGTAGCTGCCATCACCAGTGTGTGAATGTGTGTGTGAATGGGTGGATGACTGGATATGTAAAGAGCTTTGGGGTCCTTAGGGACTAGTAAAGCGCTATACAAATACAGGCCATTTGTAACTTTGGTGCGAGACACCAAAACACGAGAAACTGAGGATGTTCTGCCATGGAAATGGGGAAGCAGTGGATCATTAAATTGGTTGGTGTTGTTTTAACACAGAGTTAACATCAGGTGGCGTTTGTGTGTCTGCAGGGTGTGATCGACTACATCTTCTTCTCCAAGACCCACATGAGCGTCCTGGGCATGCTCGGACCGCTCGACAGCCAGTGGCTCATAGACAACAACATCACGGGCTGCCCCCACCCGCACATCCCCTCGGACCACTTCTCCCTGCTGGCCCAGCTGGAGCTGCACCCTCCCCTGCCCCACCCGCTCAACCCCCTCAACGGGCTGCACCTGCCGGTCCACAGGTAGTGCACCCCGAGAACGAGAGAGAGCGCCCCGCCTACCCCTTTTTACCTCACCTTTTAAACACTGTCCCACCTCCTCCCTCCAGCTTCATACAGGACCCTGTACAGTTCACGTTAAACTCGGACACCATCTGACCGCCTCTAACCCCAAAAGGAGTGAAGTATTTGCCCCGGGTGTTGCTCCTTTTTATGTTTTTGCACACTGTATATTTTTTTTCTTTTCTCCCCCTGAAAAGGCTTGATACCAAATGTTGGGCTTGGGATGAAGTATTTCCCAACGTCTGTTTTTTTTTGTTTTTGTTTTTTTGATTAGTTGTAATCATGGCCGCTTAAAGATTCTACAATAACAAACGAATACAAACAACTGTTTAAGGTAAATCTGCTACACAAACGTAAGCATCATTTCACACAGCTGTGAAATTTTTAGAGTACAGACACGTGATCGTATTAATGCTGCACAGTTTATAGAGCTGAAAGCTGCTTTCACTCCCACATTAACTGACGGGTATTTAATTGAACGGGGGGTCAACACTACAAAAACAAAAAACCTCAACCTTTTGAGTGTTATAGGAGAATGTAGAAGGATTGTTTCTGTTGGTAATTGTTTTGCAAAAAGGTCCTTATTTGAGTTTCAAAAAACGAATTTGATAATAAGCGGGGAAATGGGTGGAAATTTTTAAGGATAAAATGTGCAAGCTGGGTGTTTTTTAAAAGTAATGCTATTTAGCATGGAGCTATGCGTCATCCTGGATCCATGTTTAGAATTAGGCCCATGTCACTCAGCATTGTATGAATTTCTTTCACTTTACCTCGGTGCGGTACGTCTTTTATAAAAGTGTTTTTTTTTCTTTTTGCAAAGGCTTTTGTTCTCTGCAGCTCTGAAGTAATAAAACAATCAGTTGTTTGAATATTTTTCTAAGCATTGCAGGCAGATTTGCTCAGACGCTGCCTTTTTCCTGACATCCACAAACAGTCCGCTTCACAGCTTTGAGCTTTTCATGCTGTGTTTTCTTCTTCTTTTTTATTTTAAACCCCTGATCTGCCTCGCCAAAGAATCCCCCGCAGCAAGTGACATGTCCTCCGTCAGTAATAAGACCTTTATTTATCGGTGCCAGAGAGAAAACGTATATCGTTTAATGTTTTAGTCGATGTTTCCTGACCAAGAGGCTGAATGTATTTACTAAAAAGGCTCGCTATGAATTTGGTTCTCGGAGCCGATTAATGCCAGATCCCTGTGGACTCTAAACTTTGTGTATTTGTGTCAGATGATTAGAAGGAATAGCTCTTTATTCTGTAAGTTGTAACTCAGGGCTATGCTATGCATCCAGCAGCACCTTTCACGCTAAAGACTCTCAGAGTCATGTCGTACGAGCAAAACCAAACAGGAAGCTACTGTTCTGAAAAAGCACAGGTAATGTATGTGTTTGCATACGGATATGCTGTTGTTCATCTTGTCGTTGTAGAAGTCCCAGGTCCTTGTGCATTTTTGATAAAATACTGATGCACTTTTACTCCTAACCTGGGAAAATCACATTTGTCCTAGTTTTAGAAGAAACAAATAAAGCATATTTGGTCAGTTTTAATTGAATAAGGATTTAGTTTGCTTTAAGGCCTTTAGAGAGGCTGACGCGATGAATGATAAGGGATCGGACTGGGTGTCAGTACTACATGTTTTCAGTGCCAGTACAAAGAAAATGAGATTATTTTTTAAGATGGAGAGGGAGGAACATAAATGTTTTGGAGTTTTTCTCAAAGAAATCTTCTCAAATGATTAAACCAGCAGCTCCAAATCCACACACTAAAATCTGCATCCTGTTTATTATGGGAACTTTGCTCTAGTCTCTGCCCTTTTTAACTCGTTGTGTGATTTCTGTCAGCTGTTAAAGTCTTAAAACAGACACTGCTCACAATTCAGCTATGCAAACTGAGACAAGTGGACATGGCTTGTATTAAAGTGGATGTTATGTGTTTCCAGCTCAATCTACCAGAGTAGCTTTGTATGATTACTGTTCAGAATAATCCTTATTTATCTTACACTGGGCCTTACCAGGCCAGTTTTAGCTCCTCTCTCATTCAGACCCGGGTTCTCAAAGTACGGCATGTGGACCAGTGGGGGCTCGTAGTAACAAGGAAAATTAAGGTACATGTAAAGTAGCAGCACAGAGGAGACCAAAAGAGCTTTCCTCTTGAGTTTTAACCCTTCTGTTGTATCTGTCATAACAGACACTGTTGGTGCCAAGAAATATCACCTCATTAAATACCATTAAATTTAAAAACCAGGACAAAAATAATAAACCTAACTATCTAAATGTGTCTGTGCAGCCCTTAATCATACTCTCCCTGGTTTAAGACCACCCACTCTTTAAGTCAGCTTTCTCCTGATTGGTCGCCCCTCTTAAACTGCAGCTAGGTGGGGACTCTGTGTCTCAGATGACCAAATTAAGGATATCCATCTTTTGGCCTCATACAGACCTAAGAGTAGAAAAAAAAACTAATCTTAGTGTCACCACTCAGCTGTTTAGCTCCCTTCCCCCTTCTCTTCAAGGGCCCCTCAAAACCTGCAGGTGCCAGTATGACCTTATTTGGCACGTCCTCTCTATTTGGCCTCATAAAGAAACGAGGGTTATAAAAACTGTCTGAAGCACAGGATTTAAACTCACGTAGCTCATGTACATATGCTGACTTCATTATTTGAAACCTCGGACATATTTACTATGTACATTGTGTCCTATTATCTTATTTTTCCCCCTCATTTCTACACTGGAACAGGAAAAGTTTAAAAGATTGGGAATCACTGGTCTGAACACAGAAAAGTTAAGCTTATTTAAACCAGAAACCATCTGATTTCAAAGAATGAATTTAAAACATCTGATATTAAAAACCAGCTTTTTCTACACATTTTAACTGGTGCAGCATGATGGTTGACACCCAGTCCTGTCTGTGCAGGCAGATGTGCCTCTTAGTGATAAACATATCTGGCACATTTCGCACTGTAGGGTGTAGTAAACCCGGATTAGTTGAACCAGTCAAAGCTTTTCCTGTGTTTGAAAGCCATAATTCTGGGATACGTGGCGTCGGCACAGCGCGGCGTGTGACCGTGTAGCTGCAGCTTTAAATCGCAGGTTCTTCACTTTTACTGGCCTTCTGTTGCACATGATTTAACACTAAGGAGTTCACCTCTGGGTTCGGTGGATTCGATCCCGGTGAGCATTTAGAGGCCTATACTTCACTCCTGAACTAACCTCACAGGGTTTTTATTTCCTGGTTTTTGTACCACAGCTGTACATAAATGAATCTGTCTTTGATGACGGCATGTCTTTCACATCTGTGAGGGGAATGTACCATTCTCCTGATAAAGGGGCGTAAAGTTTTCTCACAATTCAAACGTGTACTTGGTGTTGTAATTTTCTTCTAAAGATCTCGTGTGAATACCACCTCCACATTTGTCTCTGATGCTCTTGTAGAGACCGGACGTGTCTCTGTTTCCAGCTCTTGTTTTTTGAACTACGGGCATTTTCTGTCTCCAACATGCAGTCTTTCAATTAGTACTTTGTACTACTCAGTATTACCAACATTTTTTTTGAAAAAAACCATAAATATTCTAGGTTTAAAAGCAGCTCGTCTATATGGGTTTTATTTCTCCAGCGTCATCTCAAAGCCTCGCTTGCTTCTTTTGTTTTCCTGTCATTTCTGCTTTCACACACATTAAACACCAGTTACGTTCGCATTTATTCCACAACAATACCAAACTGTCATCACCTGAAAGCAGTTCACTTGTTAATTTTGTCTCTGTAGATGCACCTCATACACTTTTTCTACAAACAATGTGCCTAGTTTGTACAGTTTCTCCAACAGCAGCACTGCCCATGAGACCAAGACCCTCAGAGATTAACCCAGCACCATCGCCCAGCCAACACCCTTCGATCCATCCTTCCATCCCTCCAAGCCAACTTTTCATGTGGTGAGATTGTGGGAGGAATTCAGGACTCAGTTTCTGTTACGTTATGTAAAACGGTCACTCTCACTTGTTTGTGGTTTCCTTGCTAGGACAAAGATCATCACAAGCATCACGTGGAATTTCTGAACGTAGAAATCCTGATGTTTGATGTCTGGCTGTAGTTGATTTGGTTTTATTTTTGTTCCATTGTTAATTCAAACTGTCTCGGCTACTGCCCATTAGTCTTTGGTGGTGAATACGATGCCTGGCGATAGTAACTGGGGAAAAGACGCAGACGTTTTAATTTCATTGTCATGTTTGTACTCTGAATTTTATGGCTGTAGGCCAGCTCGCTGCAGAATCTCTACACAGAATTTAAGAAATACGACTAATGAAAAATGGCATTATGGACGAGTATGTTCATTATATCGATTAAAGGGGACCTATTATGCTTAGTTCCTAATCCAGTCCACTCTGGAGCATCTTCAGGTGGATTGCAGTTCAAGGTAATCTTTATTTACGTCGTGTTTGTGCAGCAACTCAGGTATTTTAGCTCCCTTTAAGCCCGTTTTCTACTGATTGGGTGCCCCTCATCAGCTGCAAGTGGGCGGGGCTTCTGTGCCTGAGATGACCATATTAGGTATATTCACTTTCTTTGCCATCATATAGACCCAAGAATAGGAAAACAGGATGTTTGCATCAGTCTGAAGCCTGAACTTGTATTGTACACACTCTGACCTCATTATTACAGACTTTGGCCATGTTGAGCATGAACATTGGATCCGTACAGAGATGGCAGACAGACAGGAAAAAGCAGAATCGGTCTCCTTTAATTCACTGTGGAAAATTAATTAAGAAAGAATTAATTAAGAAAGTCAGAAGCTCAACAGATTTTCAAAGCTGAAGAGCAACTTTCATTTTACAAATCCGAATTTTAGAAAATTAAAATAAATGACAAAAGCCAGAAATGCAATTCTGTTATTTCTGCAAAATGAATTAAAGTATTTTTAAAGTTTCTGCCTTTCATTGTTGTTTTAGTAATGTGAGGTAAGAGAATAAAAACTGGGCGTGCGTCTTCAGGCCACCAGCTGTCACCAACAAAGGTGCTACTCTAGCTCTCGAGAGAGTTTTTAAAGAACCACATTTAAACCTCTTGTCAATGAAGGTGGTATGCAGTTCTTCACCACACTGGTTTCCAGTCCAAGCGTCCACCGCAGGCAGGAGGAAGTACTTGGTCAGCTTCCTCTGATTGGAAAACTTTCAGCTGTGGTGAACAGCCAAAACCAAAGTTTGCCCCATTTTTGGCATTTAAATGTTAAAAAAAGAGGAAAAAAATTTAAATAATGTGGGTGACGACGTCATTTCTGTTTAGTTCCTCTGACTAAAAAAGAGAGAAATGCAGATCTCTCCTTTGTAGAATTCCTGTTGGCTTCTAAAATTTGGCAAGGAAATGCACGAATTTGATTCTGGTAGAAAACTTCACGAGACACAAGATTCCAAGACACGTAAAAAGTGATTTAATCTGAGAAAATTTAGAGATTACATGTTTATTTAACATAAACAAATATCCTGTGAAAGTGCTCTCAAACGGGAGCTCATTTTCTTGCAATGTTAATTTATATTTATGTAAATCCTGTTTACGTCAGAGCGAAATCTTTAGGGTTTATCACAACTTATATTTGTCATAGGTCCCCAACTGTTAAGAAAGTGAGATAATTAATCATTGGACTACAATAAAAACAACATAAGGATTTATTGGAGAAAATTAAGGCAACAAAAACATGTTGAATGTATTTTTTTGTCTGTTTAAATTATTTTCTGAGATAATCCGTAATTCCATATAAATAAATAATGAATCCAATGTGTCAGCAAAAATAAAATAAGTATTTTAAACCTGCTTCATCCAGTGTTCAGACTGTGGGAAATGAAATGGCCTCTGAAGCTAAAACAGTCGTATAGAAAAACCTGAAGCTGTGATATTTACGTGAATAAAGTGAGGACTTCTGCAAAGGCTCCATCTGTATTTTATATGTGAGCATCACCTGTCAGTTACAAACAAATCTTCAGAGACACTCCCCAACAACTCACACCCTCTGTAGGCAATAAAATGTCATTTTTTGAAAACTCTTCTTGTCTGTGCTTTATTTTTCTGTTTTTTAAAAAAGTCAAAATTCAGGGATACAACACATATCGAAGTCATAGCAGTGGGTATTACAAAAATCTTTTTTTAATTAAAAAGTACAAATACACATGTTTAATGCAACAGTAACAGATACAAACTATTAAAAAAGTGAAAGGTGTGCAACAATCTTCAGTACCTTCTTCAAATATTAAGGTGGCACAGTTTAAAGGTATTTTTATCAATTCTATCAGAATTTCAAACATAAAAAATTCACATTTAGATTATGTGATTTTCTAAGAATTGTTCCTTTGTCATCAAAGGATAACACTCGAGAAAATGAAACTGTATTCGTGCTGAATACAACAGGTTTGTACAGGTAATTCAGACTGATGAAGGGAGGAATCGATCTGCCGTGTGATCAGAAGCTAGTTGTTGAAGCAGTGCGTGGCCCAGTGGTTGAGACGGCCTTCTTCCTGTAATTCAAAATAAAAACGATGGAGTTAATAATCAGAGTAACTCTAAATAATACAAAAACTCAGTTAACAGGATTTTTTCAGCAAGTTAGCTAAACGTTAAAAATGCCGGTTCTATGAAATGTTCGCATGTATTCTAAAAGTGATAAGTGTATGACTGATAAGAAATTCTCACTTTTGCAGAGTTTTGAGAAGGCCTGGAAACCACTTGGCCTCTGGATTGACACAGATCTTAGCACCAGACCTCACAGTGATCCTGTTGAGACAGCAGAAGATTCAAAACATTACTTAAAAATGGAGAAATTATCACGCCGCACAAGCTTGATTGAAACTGAAGCAGAAACAAAACTAAGACATGAAGTAAAAGTTTCATTTTTGCTCTTAGTTCACAGTTCTGTGTGTCAGCAGGTAACTTCAAACTTGCATCATCATCATCAGTGCAAGTTATAATACAATAATGTCAAAATGTTAAAGGGCTTTATTGACATTTACATGGTTCACAGAACAGTGAAAAAGTTTAAAATTACAGTATAAAAGCTTAAAATGAAAAACTCTTAAAGATATGAAGATAAAATACTCAAGTAA